TGAACTGTAACATTCGCAAATGTGCAGACACCAAAAAGGTCGAGAAATGAACTCAAAAGACACAATCGTCATAAGTCATTCGACATTGGGTTTTTGAACGGTCGACAAACTGGGAGACACAGTTTAAGGCAGAGTATGTACGGTTCTGAGGCTAGACAATGTTGATGTAGCTGTGTGTAGGCCAGACCCCGCACCATGCCAGCCTGGGGCAGGGCGCCATTGTCTGAGGCTAGACAATGTTGATGTAGCTGTGTGTAGGCCAGACCCCGCACCATGCCAGCCTGGGGCAGGGCGCCATTGTCTGAGGCTAGACAATGTTGATGTAGCTGTGTGTAGGCCAGACCCCGCACCATGCCAGCCTGGGGCAGGGCGCCATTGTCTGAGGCTAGACAATGTTGATGTAGCTGTGTGTAGGCCAGACCCCGCACCATGCCAGCCTGGGGCAGGGCGCCATTGTCTGAGGCTAGACAATGTTGATGTAGCTGTGTGTAGGCCAGACCCCGCACCATGCCAGCCTGGGGCAGGGCGCCATTGTCTGAGGCTAGACAATGTTGATGTAGCTGTGTGTAGGCCAGACCCCGCACCATGCCAGCCTGGGGCAGGGCGCCATTGTCTGAGGCTAGACAATGTTGATGTAGCTGTGTGTAGGCCAGACCCCGCACCATGCCAGCCTGGGGCAGGGCGCCATTGTCTGAGGCTAGACAATGTTGATGTAGCTGTGTGTAGGCCAGACCCCGCACCATGCTAGCCTGGGGCAGGGCGCCATTGTCTGAGGCTAGACAATGTTGATGTAGCTGTGTGTAGGCCAGACCCCGCACCATGCCAGCCTGGGGCAGGGCGCCCCCTCAGTGTGTAGGCCAGACCCCGCACCATGCCAGCCTGGGGCAGGGCGCCCCCTCATAATTTACGCTGGGAATGAAATTATTGAAGACAGTCACCTTTTAATACAAATCAATAACGCTTCTGTGAAAGCCGTGGTACACGCGGGGAGGGGTCGAGGGGAGGGGGGTCGAGGGGAGGGGGGTCGAGGGGAGGGGGGTCGAGGGGAGGGGGGTCGAGGGGAGGGGGGTCCAGGGGAGGGGTCGAGGGGAGGGGTCGAAAGGGGAGGGGGAGGGGAGGAAGAAAGTGGGGGAAGGACGTAGGAGAAAGGGGGGGGTTAGGGGTAGGTGAGGAATTTAAAGTCAAAGTGAATGAAGGTGCAGGAGTGCTTCCATACCCACCAGGGGGGCCGTCATATCTACCAGGGGGGCCGTCATACCCACCAGGGGGGCCGTCATACCCACCAGGGGGGCCGTCATATCTACCAGGGGGGCCGTCATACCCACCAGGGGGGCCGTCATACCCACCAGGGGGGCCGTCATATCTACCAGGGGGGCCGTCATACCCACCAGGGGGGCCGTCATACCCACCAGGGGGGCCGTCATATCTACCAGGGGGGCCGTCATACCCACCAGGGGGGCCGTCATACCCACCAGGGGGGCCGTCATATCTACCAGGGGGGCCGTCATACCACCAGGGGGGCCGTCATATCTACCAGGGGGGCCGTCATACCCACCAGGGGGGCCGTCATATCTACCAGGGGGGCCGTCATACCCACCAGGGGGGCCGTCATACCCACCAGGGGGGCCGTCATACCCACCAGGGGGGCCGTCATACCCACCAGGGGGGCCGTCATACCCACCAGGGGGGCCGTCATACCCACCAGGGGGGCCGTCATACCCACCAGGGGGGCCGTCATACCCACCAGGGGGGCCGTCATACCCACCAGGGGGGCCGTCATATCTACCAGGGGGGCCGTCATACCCACCAGGGGGGCCGTCATATCTACCAGGGGGGCCGTCATACCCACCAGGGGGGCCGTCATACCCACCAGGGGGGCCGTCATACCCACCAGGGGGGCCGTCATACCCACCAGGGGGGCCGTCATACCCACCAGGGGGGCCGTCATACCCACCAGGGGGGCCGTCATATCTACCAGGGGGGCCGTCATACCCACCAGGGGGGCCGTCATATCTACCAGGGGGGCCGTCATACCCACCAGGGGGGCCGTCATACCCACCAGGGGGGCCGTCATACCCACCAGGGGGGCCGTCATACCCACCAGGGGGGCCGTCATACCCACCAGGGGGGCCGTCATACCCACCAGGGGGGCCGTCATATCTACCAGGGGGGCCGTCATACCCACCAGGGGGGCCGTCATACCCACCAGGGGGGCCGTCATACCCACCAGGGGGGCCGTCATACCCACCAGGGGGGCCGTCATATCCACCTGGGGGGCCGTCATACCCACCTGGGGGGCCGTCATACCCACCAGGGGGGCCGTCATACCCACCTGGGGGGCCGTCATACCCACCAGGGGGGCCGTCATACCCACCAGGGGGGCCGTCATACCCACCAGGGGGGCCGTCATACCCACCAGGGGGGCCGTCATACCCACCAGGGGGGCCGTCATATCCACCAGGGGGGCCGTCATACCCACCAGGGGGGCCGTCATACCCACCTGGGGGGCCGTCATACCCACCAGGGGGGCCGTCATACCCACCAGGGGGGCCGTCATATCCACCAGGGGGGCCGTCATACCCACCAGGGGGGCCGTCATACCCACCAGGGGGGCCGTCATACCCACCAGGGGGGCCGTCATACCCACCAGGGGGGCCGTCATATCCACCAGGGGGGCCGTCATACCCACCAGGGGGGCCGTCATACCCACCAGGGGGGCCGTCATACCCACCAGGGGGGCCGTCATACCCACCAGGGGGGCCGTCATATCCACCAGGGGGGCCGTCATACCCACCAGGGGGGCCGTCATACCCACCAGGGGGGCCGTCATATCCACCAGGGGGGCCGTCATACCCACCAGGGGGGCCGTCATATCTACCGGGGAGGGGGGGGGCGTTATACCCACCATAAGTGTGTGTGTGGGGGGGGGGGGCGTTATACCCACCATAAGGGTGTGTGTGGGGGGGGGGGCGTTATACCCACCATAAGGGTGTGTGTGGGGGGGGGGGCGTTATACCCACCATAAGGGTGTGTGGGGGGGGGCGTTATACCCACCATAAGGGGGTGTGTGGTGGGGGCGTTATACCCACCATAAGGGTGTGTGTGGGGGGGGGGGTGTTATACCAACCATAAGGGTGTGTGTGTGTGGGGGGGGGGGTTATACCCACCATAAGGGGGTGTGTGTGTGGGGGGGGGGGGCGTTATACCCACCATACGGGTGTGTGGGGGGGGGGGCATTATACCCACCATAAGGGTGTGTGGGGGGGGGGGGGGCGTTATACCCACCATAAGGGTGTGTGTGGGGGGGGTTATACCCACCATAAGGGTGTGTGTGTGTGGGGGGGGGGGGGGCGTTATACCCACCATAAGGGTGTGTGTGGGGGGGCATTATACCCACCATAAGGGTGTGTGTGGGGGGGGGGGGCGTTATACCCACCATAAGGGTGTGTGTGGGGGGGGCGTTATACCCACCATAAGGGTGTGTGTGGGGGGGGCGTTATACCCACCATAAGGGTGTGTGTGGGGGGGGCGTTATACCCACCATAAGGGTGTGTGTGGGGGGGTTATACCCACCATAAGGGTGTGTGTGGGGGGGCGTTATACCCACCATAAGGGTGTGTGTGGGGGGTTATACCCACCATAAGGGTGTGTGTGGGGGGCGTTATACCCACCATAAGGGTGTGTGTGGGGGGGTTATACCCACCATAAGGGTGTGTGTGGGGGGGCGTTATACCCACCATAAGGTTGTGTGTGGGGGGGCGTTATACCCACCATAAGGGTGTGTGTGGGGGGGGCGTTATACCCACAATAAGGGTGTGTGTGGGGGGGGCGTTATACCCACCATAAGGGTGTGTGTGTGGGGGGGCGTTATACCACAATAAGGGTGTGTGTGGGGGGGCGTTATACCCACCATAAGGGTGTGTGTGGGGGGGGGCGTTATACCCACCATAAGGGTGTGTGTGGGGGGGGGGGCGTTATACCCACCATAAGGGTGTGTGTGGGGGGGGCGTTATACCCACCATAAGGGTGTGTGTGGGGGGGGGGCGTTATACCCTCCATAAGGGTGTGTGGGGGGGGGACGTAACGTACAACGATAATACCATTTGACTGTTGAGACAGAGACGACGTGACACATGGCACTGTCATCACCGTTGGCCGTCAGTCAACAACAACAACAACAACACAACTTACAAGTGGTGTGCAAACATTTACATTTGCGAATATAGTCATATTCCTTGCACGAATTATTGTATAAAGACCTAATTACACACCAGTGTTCAGTATGAATAGTTGACCAAATAATTAAGGATGTATACTCACTTATTTGTGTTTGGGGGGGTTGAGGTTTGGCTCTTTGGTCCCGCCTCTCAACTGTAAAACAACAGGTGTGCAGATTCCTGAGCCTATTGGGCTCTATCATAACTACACTTGAAACTGTGTATGGAGTCAGCCTCCACCACATCACTGTCTAATGTAATCCATCTGTTAACTACTATGACGCTGACAAATTTCCTTCTAACGTCTCTGTGGCTCATTTGGGTACTCAGTTTCCACCTGTGTCCCCAAGTGCGTGTGCCCCTTGTGTTAAACAGCCTGTCTTTATCAACCCTGTCAATTCCCTTGAGGATCTTGAATGTGGTGATCATGTCCCCCCTCTAACTCTTCTGTCTTCCAACGAAGTGAGGTTTAATTTCCGTAGTCTCTCCTCGTAGCTCATACCTCTCAACTCGGGTACTAGTCTGGTGGCAAACCTTTGAACCTTTTCCATTTTAGTCTTATGCTTGACTAGATATGGACTCCATGCTGGAGCCGCATACTCCAGGATTGGTCTGACATATGTGGTATATAATGTTCTGAAAGGTTCCTTACACAAGTTTCTAAAAGCCGTTCTTATGTTAGCCAACCTGGCATATGCTGCTGATGTTATCCTCTTGATGTGAGCATCAGGGGACAGGTCTGGCGTGATATCAACCCCCAGGTCTTTCTCTCTCTCGGACTCTTGAAGTATTTCATCTCCCAAGTGATACCTTGTATCTGGTCTCCTGCTTCCTACCCCTATCTTCATTACATTACATTTGCTTGGATTAAACTCTAACAGCCATTTGTTCGACCATTCCTGCAGCTTGTCCAGGTCTTCTTGAAGCCTCAAGCTGTCCTCCTCTGTCTTAATCCTTCTCATAATTTTGGCGTCGTCAGCAAACATTGAGAGGAATGAGTCTATACCCTCTGGGAGATCATTTACGTATATCAGAAACAGGATAGGTCCAAGTACAGAGCCCTGTGGGACTCCACTGGTGACTTCACGCCAGTCTGAGGTCTCACCCCTCACTGTAACTCTCTGCTTCCTATTGTTTAGGTACTCCATTATCCACTGGAGCGCCCTACCAGTTACTCCTGCCTGTTTCTCTAGCTTATACATCAACCTTTTATGGGGTACTGTGTCAAAGGCTTTCCGTCAGTCCAAAAAAATGCAGTCCGCCCACCCTCCTCTTTCTTGTTTAATCTTTGTCACCTGATCGTAGAATTCTATCAATCCTGTAAGGCAAGATTTACCCTCCCTGAACCCATGTTGATGGGTTGTCACGAAGTCTCTTCTCTCCAGATGTGTTACTAGGTTTTTTCTCACAATCTTCTCCATCACCTTGCATGGTATACAAGTTAAGGACACTGGCCTGTAGTTCAGTGCCTCTTGTCTGTCACCCTTTTTGTATATTGGTACTACATTAGCAGTCTTCCATATTTCTGGTAGGTCCCCCGTTTCCAGTGACCTACTATACACTATGGAGAGTGGTAGGCAAAGTGCTCCTGCACACTCTTTCAATACCCATTGCGAGATTCCATCCGGCCCAACAGCTTTTCTCACATCCAGCTCCAATAGGTGCTTCTTGACCTCATCTCTTGTAATTTCGAACCTATCCAAGGTCACCTGGTTTGCTGCCACCTCTTCTATCTTGAGGTTATATTGAGATGATTTCGGGGCTTTAGTGTCCCCGCGGCCCGGTCCTCGACCAGGCCTCCACCCCCAGGAAGCAGCCCGTGACAGCTGACTAACACCCAGGTACCTATTTACTGCTAGGTAACAGGGGCATTCAGGGTGAAAGAAACTTTGCCCATTTGTTTCTGCCTCGTGCGGGAATCGAACCCGCGTCACAGAATTACGAGTCCTGCGCGCTATCCACCAGGCTACGAGGCCCCTAGCGCCGCGCCGCGACATCTCCCTGTTCTATTGTAAAGACCTCCTGGAACCTTTTGTTGAGTTCTTCACACACCTCTTTGTCATTCTCTGTGTACCTGTCCTCGCCCACCCTAAGTTTCATTACCTGTTCCTTCACTGTTGTCTTCCTCCTGATGTGACTGTGTAGTAGCTTTGGTTCGGTCTTGGCTTTATTAGCTATATCATTTTCATATCTTTTCTCAGCTGCTCTTCTCACACTGACATACTCGTTCCTGGTTCTCTGGTATCTCTCTCTACTTTCTGGTGTTCTGTTATTACGGAAGTTCCTCCATGCCCTTTTGTTTTGCTCCTTTGCTTTCATACATTCCTTATTAAACCACGGATTCTTCCTTTGCTTCTCTGTTTTTTCCTGTCGGGCTGGGACAAACCTGCTTACAGCCTCCTGACATTTTTGGGTGACATAGTCCATCATGTCTTGTACGGACTTGGTTCCGAGTTCTGTGTCCCAATGTATATCCCATAGGAATTTATTCATTTCCTCATAGTTTCCCTTTCGGTACGCCAGCCCTTTGGTTCCCAGTTCTTTTTTGGGGGGTGATAATTCCCAGTTCAACCAGGTACTCAAAGCTCAATACACTGTGATCACTCATTCCCATTGTGTGTGTGTGTGTGTGTGTGTGTGTGTGTGTGTGTGTGTGTGTGTGTGTGTGTACTCACCTAGTTGTGCTTGCGGGGTCTGAGCTCTGGCTCTTTGGTCCCGCCTCTCAATTGCCAATCAACTGGTGTACAGATTCCTGAGCTTCTAAAGCTCTATCATATCTATATATGAATCTTTATATGGAGTCAGCCTCCACCAAATCACTTTCTAGTGTTTTCCATTTACTAACTACTGACACTGAAAAAGTTCTTTCTAATGTGTCTGTGGCTCATTTGGGTACTCAGCTTCTACCTGTGTCCCCTTGTACCACATGCGTGTACCACCCGTGTTAAATAATCCGTCTTTGTTTACCCTGTCAATTCCCCTTAGAATTTTGTATGTGGTGATCATATCTCCCCAAGCTCTTCTGTCTTCCAACGACGTGAGGTGCAGTTCCCTCAGCCGTTCCTCGTAAATCACGCCTCATAGTTCTAGGACTAGTCTAGGGGCATTGCTCTGAACTTTTTCCAGCTTCGTCTTGTGATTGACAAGGTACGGGCTCCATGCTGGGGCCGCATACTCCAGGATTGGCCTTACATACATGGTATACAAGATTTAGAAGGATTCCTTACACAAGTTTCTGAAGGTAGTGCTAATGTTAGCCAGCCTCGCATAAACCGCTGATGTT